ATGTATCTGTGTTACATCACCATAATTTTTGGCCACTGACCTATCTGCCGTATACGGTATTGGTGACTATCAGGTAGGTACAGGACCTGTGGGGGCCAGGCTGTACAATTGCATCCACATTTGGAGGATTTTAAACACAGATCCCTATGTGTTGCAAGTCTTATGAGAAGGACTCTCACTTTGTTTTCACACTCCTTCTCCCTTATCTTCTTTACCAGTTCCCTTCCCTCCTACAGGGGATCCCATATCCAGTCACCATCTCTCAGAGGTGGTTCAGAACCTTCTTTCCAAGGGTACTATAGAATATATGGTTCAGTCTGGCCTCAGGTTCTATTCCTGGTTGTTTGTTGTCCCCATAAAGACTGGATTGGTGATCTATCATTGATCTTTCCAGTATGAAATGCTTTTTAGATATTCCTTGTTTTACCACGGAGTCACTTTGATGGCATTTACTCCAGGTTTGTGGATGACAAAAATTGACATATGCAGTGATTACCTCCATACCCTTCAGCATCTCATCCTTTTATTTGCTTCATTCACAGGGATTGGGTCTACCAATTTCAAGCTCTTTTATTTGGCTTTTTCTTGGCCCACAAGTTTTTTGTCATGGGGTCAAACCTTTTGCCAGATAGATCCTTCCCCCCCCGGGGGCTTTGGTTGCATCATTACATGGATGACTGGCTTCTTCTAGTTCCATCATTGGCAGTACCAACCTCTTGCAAAATTCAGTTTCTTCTCCAAGAAGCTGCACATGTGAGTTGGTTGGTCAAGATAGAGAACTCTGTACTGACCCCAACTCAATATTTTATTCATCTTGGGGTCTTTTTCAACTCCTACCATCTCCAGTTCATCTACGGGCCATGGAGCTAACAGTTCAAAAGGCACAGTCCTTTCCTACTCTATCCACACAAGATGTTCTATTGCTTTTTGGGACTTGGACATCCTTGGAAGTTCTTATTCTCTTGGGTCTGGCCCATGAGATCTATTCAGTGGGTTGTACACAATCAATGGGGCCTTGCCAGAGATCCCGTAGTTTTTCCTTTTTCTTTTTCTTACTCCTTGCAGACAGACTTTGCTTTGTATCTTTTGTTTCTCTTCCACCTCCCAGACCAGATTTTTTACAGATGCATACTCTGTCAGGTTGGGAATGTATTTGAATGCTTGGGAAGTAGGTGGTCAGAGGTTGAGTCCAAGATTCATATCAATATCCTGGATCTTTTTGTGGTTTGCTGAGCTCTGGATCATTTCCTTCCAATTCTTCAGGACAAGTTGGTCATGAACTATTCCAACAATTTGACTGTGATCTCTTACATCACCTGACAAGGGGCACACTTTCTTGGACTTACTGTATTGGGTGCATAGTCCGCAGATCCACCTGCAGGCTTTTCATATCCCGGGTGCCCTCAATCTTGTCAAGGATTTGTTATCCCATCCTGATGGATTTTTCACAAGGAGTGGTCCCTTGATCCACAGGTCTTCCAGTGGCTCTGCTCTCAGTTGGGTATGCCCCAGTTGGATGCTTTGGCCACCCATCAAAATATGTAACTGTTTCTTTTTTGGTCTCCTGCATTCATCAGCCTTAGTAGTGGATGTGTTCAGCCAACACTGAAAGAACCTGTAACCTTATGTATATCCTCTCATCTGTGTACTGTCCATCATTCAATCCACTCCGTGTTGAATAATTCTGATAGTGCTATTCTGGCTAGCTCAGACTTGGTTCCCATTACTTCAGCCCCTCCAGTTAACACCACCATTACCTCTTCCTCCCTCCCTGTTTCTCGTTTGTCAACCACATGTATGTCAGTTTCATCCATTTGTATATATGATCTGGCTGCATGCATTGCTTTTATCTTGTCCCTTGCCAAAATGACTGGTAGTGTCTCTTATTTCCTGTTCTGTCCATCCTTCTTCTTTATCCATGTGTCAGTGCAATTGGTGTGTTTTCACCATTGGTCACTATATCATGGCCTGTTTCCTTCCTGCCCTACCGTCCTTCATAGTTCAGACTTCTTTTGGCTATTGAACAAGGGTTTCTCTGTGTCAACCATCACAGGCTATCAGGGGGCCTTGTCCTCTACCTTCTGTTTTTCTGAGTTCTATCATATTTTCTTCTCTCCTGTCATATCTCTTTTGTTCTGCTCCTTCTGGATCCTTCATCCTCCCCAACCCTCTCCTCTACAAGATTGTAATCTTAATGCTGTCCTACATACTCTATCTCTTCTCCCTTTTGAACCTTTGGCAACTTGTTTCTAGTACCCTTACCATATAAACCTGTTTCTTTCTTTCTCGTTGAGCTTTAGGACATCGTTGGTCAGATGTATTCACCATTGGTGTCTCACACAATACTTTATCTGAAAATTTTCAAATATCATTTGGATAACCAATAAAAGCACCTAAACAAATATCAAATGTTTTTTTTCAGAAAAACTTTATCTGTTATGTTTCATAACTATCACAGTCTTTTCTGGCTTTCTAACTGTGCGAAAAAAGCCATTAAAAATTTAGCTAAGTTTACTGATGTATTTCTCATGGGAATAGTTTGAACTGAAAGAGAAATAGAGAATTTTCTGTACAGAAAACAACATAGTATAATACATCAGCTGATAGAGAAAAACTTTGGCTTTCTATTGGTTATATATGATATAGTATTAAATGTCAGAGCAATTAGCACTTTGTGAAAGGGACGATATGAGAGGTGGGCATGGTAAGAGGGGTCTGATTTTCTATTTTATTGCTCTGTAACTAAATAAGATTGAAAGCTATGTAAATTATGCTTTGCTTGAGTGATGACAACATTATGATGAGTAATTTACATAAAATTTTGTGCTTCTTGGAGGGGTGGTAAAAACATTAGAGAAGAACGAAGACATAGATAACAAACATTACAGTTCTCTTAGTATGGGAGATTGAGATTTTTAAAAAAATATTTCCTTATAGAATTAAGAACTAAAACTTAAGTAATACTAAACTTTGATTTATTATCTACATTCTAATGCCAAATGTATTCATATACATTGATAATAAACTAGTTTAAATAAATTTTGAATGTAGCTATGAAAGGTTGTGACATGCACACTTTGACCTACTCGAGATGAAAGGGTTAATCATGTGGTACTTACACATTGCTTTATTTTCATCCAATTTATTGTCATTGATGAAACCTGTTAGACGTTGATTGTGGATAGCTATATATAAACTATATGCTGTTTAGTTTGTTATGGTACAAAGCTTGAAGCAAAGTACTTGTATTTGCCTTACATATGGGGTGTTTTGCAATGTGACAAATCCTCATGAGTATGGGACCTAGGAGTTTGGGTTAACTAGAACCTTGATTAAATGTGAGAGAGGAAAAAATTATGGGTAAGTGAAGTATGCTGTGCAATGTGTAAAAGAGTTTTAGAAATGTTCGGTTGACACCATGAGTTCAAACTTAAGAGAAGACTCAATATTTCAGTGATAAGTGAGCATTTGAAATTCCTTGTAATTCTAAAAAATGTATAATTTTGTCATTAATAAATTAGAAAATTAAGTTCATATTTCAAAGTTTCAAATTTATTAATCAACTTCATGCTTCAAAGCTTCACCCTCAGAGTTTGACACTTAAGGGTACTTCATCTCCATTTCTGAAATCCTGTGAAGAACCCTGTTACAAATTGTAGTTATAATGCTTATATATTTAAAAATTTTAATAATACTTGTAAATGATCCTTTAGGTTTATGGTTATATTAGGTGTTCAGTTTCGTGTCTTCTCTGTTTGTAATGTTGTAAAAGGTGAAAGTTGTTTGAAGCACTTTGAGGTAATAACTGTGTCCAATCATGTGATATTCCATGTCTGTGTAATCCAAAAGTTCATCATGTATTTGAGGCTGCTGTACAAACCTATGGCTTTTGGAAACACAAAAGAATAAATGAATGTAATATTGAAGAAATATTTAGTCCAAATCACCTACATACATTTTCCTAGTGTGGAGTTGTACTGTCCTCCTGTAACTTAATGAATGCTTGATCACAAAAAGAAGACTTTTCACATAATGTTTTACCACATTATACAGTAATTAACACTTTTTATTGGTCACTGTGGAAGAGACAAAAGACTTGAGACAAACATATGTACTTGGAACATTTTATCTTTTTTTTTTTTTAGAGTTACACTATGCAAGAAAACAATTGCCTCTTTAGGTGTTGCTGGACATAATTTTGGCTTCACCCAAATGTCCTGGCTACAAAGATCCTAACAAATTTGTATCTTCAAAACTTCACACCTGCATCTATATTATTAGTTGTAAATAAAGTATAAAGTTTTCATCCAGGGATATTGGCTATATTAAGATGTAGTATAATGAAATTTTCAAAAGATGCAAGATAAAAGAAAAAAGTTGAGTTTCTTACTAACATTTCATAATGTAAATTACTTTCATAATAATACAAAACAAATATGATAAGTTTGTGATTTCATGTAGCTGTTAATTTGGGGACATTTGAAGTATGTGAATTTAGGTGCCCAACCTGTTGAATGAGGCAGAAACAGGCTTTGTGAGTATTTTTACTGTTGAAAGGTTGAAATTTTTGTGACTTACTTTTAAAGTGATCATGATAGCTACTTTTACCACTGAAAAATAATGACCTGAGAATTAAAAACAAAATAAGTGAATTAGAAAAACTTCATTCTAATTTTCAATCAAAAAGAAATTGTCTACCAGATCATAAAGGAGAAATTTACAGTATATAAACATTGATAATTTGAGTGTATATCAAAGTTTTCTTTTATGTATTATCAGTTGATATATATATATTTTTTTGGAATGTGCTATATTGAAAAAATAAGGACATTTATTTAACCCATTTTTTTACTTTTAGTGAATTTCTTTTGTTTTCATGATTTTTCAATTATAAAGTAATTCTATCATATTGTTGATATAGATTAGTGTGATCATCAATCAAAAATCTTTGTTTAAAAGTGTATATTTTATGAATTTTATTTGAAATTTATTGAATTCAGAAGTCGTTCACCTTTTCGACGACACTACAGAAGATCACGATCACCCCGACGCCGTCCCAGATCCAGAGAGCGACGATCTCGTAGTAGGGATAAACAATCAGATAGTCATGATCGAGGCAAATGTAGTCATTTGACCAGTAGAGACTCTTTGAAAAAAGGAATTGAAGTTGAAGAAAAAAAAAGTGATGAAGCACTGAAAGGAACTTTTGAGAAATTTGATCAGTTAGATAAGGTGAAAATGTAGCTATTGTTCATTAAATAAAGAATTAATTTTTATTAACATGGAATACAATTTTATATCAAAATTAAATTGTGAGTTCCATAATGATATGAGGTATAACTTAATAGTTTCATACTGTAAATGAAAACACTTTCATTGAGTCTAACTCAGGTTTTGGAAAGAGTGTTATGAAGTTTCAATTTGAATTGTATACACTTATAAAATATTTTTTACTTACTTGAACTGTAAAAATATCATAGACAATTGCTGTTGAGCAAGTTTTCAGGTATGCTGTTTTATTTGATGTTGGGAATTTATTATTTTTGAATATCCTTTACTGCACATGTCATGAGGTTTTTAGTGAGTTACATTAAATATTTAATTAAACTACTTTTTGTTTATTTTTGTTTTGTTTTACCAGTTAGTATAGCATAAAATTATAGCTAATAATCCATATTTTAATAGTATATATATATGTTTTAATTTCTTAATTTTATAATGCAATATAAAAAAAAATCCAGGATTTCCCCTTGTGTGAGAAATATTACTTTTTATCTCTAGACATCCCCTCTTCTGTTATTTATTCACCACCCCTCCAATAAGTATGAAATTAAACATAAATTATACACTATAATACTGACATAATTCACAAAAATCATAATTTTCATAGCCTTCATTCTTGTTTGGTTACAGAGCCATCAAATAGAAAATCAGACTTCTCTTGCCACACCCATCTGTCACATCCTCTCTTTTATGATTTGTCAATAGTTCTCTTTTACATTTAATACTATATTATTTATAACCAATAGAAAGCCAAAGTTTTAATCTATCAAATGACATTATATTGCATTGTTTTATGTACAGAGAATTGTCAATTTATCTTTCAGTAGAAGCTTCATTCCCACAGGAAATATATTGACTAGCATGGAGGAATTTGTAATGGCTTTGGTCGCATAGTTAGAAATTCAGAAAAATTATGATCGTTATTGGAAATTGTTTGATTTTTGCATGTTATATGTTCTTTGGTGTATTATTTAATTGAATAAAAATTATTTAGTACACTACTATCATTAGTATAAAAAAAAAGTGTCATTAACAGTTGTCAGCAAAAAAAAGAAGGCCCTGGTAAGTACATTGTTTTTCATATGTATTATTTATTTATTATTATAAAAGTAACTAAGATGTAAGAATAGGAAACTCTTGAGGTTAGTTAAGGTTATATTAGGTAAACTAGATAATGATAAAATATTTTCATGAGGCAGTTTGGTGTAGCTCGTAGGTAAGTAATTTGATAGCATCATGTGAACTGCACGTGCCCCAAGTGATTTACAACTATTAATGGTACAAATAGTAGTTAGGCATGGTTCAAAGGGCAGTAAAATAATAAAATTTAAGTATAGATGGATGTATACTGTTATGAGTGTAAAGTTACTTAGGATAAACAAATGTATTTTCATGTTACAATTTGAAGTCATTTAGAAAGAAAAAAGGGTAATTTAGATTTATTTAAATTTTTGTTTTGGTGGTTACGAGATCGGTCAAATTGACCATCTATGTATATAGTTAGGATAGAGAAAATAACAGATAAGATATAAAGTTTTGCTGAAAACAAGCATCTGAAATGTATTTAGGAGGTTTTAGAGATTACGCAAGTGAAATTTTAGATTTTTGAGACAAAGAGATAGTAATTTTAATCTCAACATGAAAATCACTTTGCACTCAGACTGTAAAAAAAAATTTGATGTAATCACGGACAAATCTTTATTAAAAAAATACTTCACTAAAAATCTGATGTTTTGTATGTGAAAGACTTGTAATGTTTACTGAAAGTCTGCCAAATTTTGTGAAGATACACATACTAGATTAAAATTAGTATTATTGAAACTATAACAAATACAAAGTGGTCGCGTGTTTGGTCAGTTTGACTGATCATGTGTAGAGAGAATTAATGAAGCAATTGGCTTTTACTTATGAATGTACAGGAAGCTCAACAAAAAGAATTAGAATTAGAAATGCAGAGGAGAAGAGAACGAATAGAGAAGTGGCGTGCAGAGCGTAAAAAGAAAGACATTGAAGAAGGTGGTGGAAGTCAAACACTTATTGTAATGCCCCCAAGTAAAAAATGGTCCTTAGAGGATGATGAAGATGAGGAACCACCTTCTGAATCAGGTAACAAAGAAGATATTGAAGAGGAAGAGGTTGATCCACTTGATGCTTTTATGCAGGTATCATTACTTTATTTTAACTTCTTGTTACAGTAGTTTTTAGTTTCTATCTTCTGTGAACAAATTGTGTACAGGGTGTTATCTTTGTTCCCAAAGAAAAATCTCATTTTGTGAGAAACATTTAACCACACACACTTTATTCTTGCTAGCCATTAGCCTTAATACCACTGAATAAAACTTATGATTTAGATTACTTGAATGATGTTAGAAACAAAATTTTCTCTAATGTGAAATGACACCAAAATTAAACCTTCAGTGAATCAATAATGAATCACATACAGCTAAGATATTTCAAAATTGTGTTATTTTACAGGTAAATCAATTTATTGCTATACTAAAAATTATTCTTTTAGCATGGAATGTTTATATAATGATTATGGTGATCCTTATTTACAGGCAGATTTTCAGATTAAAAATTTTAAAGCTCTTACCACTTAATTCTGTTCCAATGTACAAAAGTGCATTAAATGTCAAATTTCATCCATCTTGGACCATATTTAGAGGTTGCGGACTGAGGTCGAAGTTCTAGACTGTAGTGGCCTGGTACTGTATGTACTGTGATATGAAAACATATTTGTTATGTATTATGAATGATTTATTTGAAGTATATTATTATTTTATTGCATATATGATTACACAGATATATGATTTTGATATGGTTAGTCACTTTTGCATTATCATTATTTCCTTTTCACCACTAGGAAGGTGTCTTCTATGAACCTGCATAACTTGAAGAAGGAATTGTTATTGTTCTTCTTTCTTTGTTATAATGATATTATACTCCTCAGTAAGGGTCACACACCCTTTTCAGCATAGTCAGTTACCACAATCAAGTGTTGAACTGTCTGTAGTGCCTCGTTGTAGTCCTTTCTGAGCTCCTGTGATTTGGGGTCAAAATCCAGAAATCCAGATGGAATTTTGAGGCACTTGAAGAAGATTATTGTGCTCTTTTTAATGAATTTTTCAATTGATATGACCTAAGATTTTCTGATATTCTGCTGTATGCACTTTGGAGGTCCAACCATGTTTTCCTATAGTACCTTTACTATTTGTCTCTGGATACAGCTGAATCAAAGAATGTCAAACTAATGAGTTCCACATTGAGATACTGTAGATGTCCAGCAAACTTTTAACTGGCAGGTTTTGAACATACAAAATTTAATTAAACTACTTTTTGCTTATTTTATACCAATTAGTATAGCATAAAATCTTAGCTAATAATCCATATTTTAATAGTATACAAGTTTTAAGTTCTTAATTTTATAAAGCAATATTAAAAAATTGTGAATTTCCTCTAGTGTGAGAAATGTGACTTTTTTTTTCTAGGCATCCTCTTTTCTGTAATTTATTCACCACCTCTTCAATAAGTATGAAATTTAACATAAATTACTCACTGTCAAGTCATCATTGCTCAGACAAAGCATAATTTTATAGCCTTAAGTCTTGTTTGGTTACAGAGCCATCAAATAGAAAATCAGACCCCTCTTGCCACACCCACCCGTCACATTAGGGTTTGTTAATAGTTCTCTCATACATTTAGTACTATATTATTTATAACCAATAGAAAGCCAAGGCTTGCATCTGTCAAATGATGTATTATGTACTTTGCTTTCTGAATAGGGAATTGTCAATTTCTGTTTTAGTACAAGCTTCATTCCACTGGGAAATATATCGACTAGCGTGGATGAATTTGTAATGGCTCTTGTTGCATAGTTAGAAAGCCAGAAAAATTGTGATAGTTAAGAGAAATTGTTTGATTTTTGCATGTTATTATTCTGTGTTCTTTGGTGCATTATTTAGTTTCTATATATTAGAAATTGTTAACCTAACTAATTTTTACCAAGAATTATTCTATGAATATGCCTGATTGGCTCAAAAAGGAATTTACTGACATTTGACTGTCTCTTTATCAGTCAAGCTTGATTTCACAATATTTTTTATTTCAGTTATCTATGAAAAGTGAGGTTAGAGTGTACTATGGAGTAGGGGATGGTAGTACTTGCCCTGTCATTTTTGATGGGCTATATGCTAGTTTAAGTATAAATAGTTGTATACTGTTACGAGTTTAAAGCTACATGTGATAAACAAATGTAGTTTCATATTAGCATTTGAAGTCATTCTAGAAAGAAAAAAGGGTAGTTTAGATTTATTTCAATTTTTTTTATGCTTATCAGGTCGGTCAAATTGATCAACCTCGTATATAGAGTTAGGGTAGAAAAAATAACAGATAAAATATATAGTTTTACTGAAAACAAATGTTTAAAATGTATTTCAGAGGTTTCAAAAATTATGCAAATGAAATTTGAGATTTTCAGGACTAAGAATAGTGTTTTTAATCATAGTGTGAAAATTACTTTGCACTCAGACTAGTAACGAAACAGACTCGATATATTGACAAACAAATCTATTTTTAAAATATTTCGTTAAAAAATTTATTTTTTGTCTACAAAAACTTAAAACGTTTCCCAGAAGTCTACAAAATTTTGTGAAGATACACTTTCTGTATTAAAAGTTATAGCATAAATACTTAACAATGCAAATGTGTATACAGACTTGGTATTTTATACCAAGCCCATTGCGAAAGGGTTAAATCATTTGACTCCAAGCTCAGTAAGAATTCAGGGTCAAAGGAAACAGGGTGTTCAGGAAAATTATTTCTCTTCACCCCACTTTTGTATTAGAATTGCAGTGGAGGGTCTTGAAAAAAAACAAAAAACATTATTTTATATATACACACACCTTAGTGAGTGAATTGAGATGAGAATGGTAAAGGTATAAGACTTAACAGCTGTGGATTATCAGCAAGCAAGAACACAAAAATCACAGATGAGTGACAAGTAAGTTTCTCCTTCATGCTAATTATAAATGGGGAGTGTAACAAAACCATTGGGTGAGGATCTGTAGATCCAATACCCTTAATTACGATGTGGAAGGAAAACGGAAGTACCCCAAGAAAAACCCACTTTTGCTACTGAGGCACTGAATGGTCTCTTCAAATAGTACCTCAGCTGTGGGGCTAGAAAGCTTGTTGATTAGTATACATGAGTATGAGATTCAAAAAGTATTAACTAAATTCAGGGAAGACATGGGTGTGCCATGATTCAGGAGTGGCTGAAGAGTTTAAAAGTTTAAAAATTCACTAGTTAATGGATAACGGTTCACTGCTTTACTGTAAAATTTGTTTGCTAATTTAAGTATCCAATACTTAATCAAATGAATGTTAGTAACTGAATTAAGGTAACTTACTGGAATGTAGGTCGGTAATCTGTAAGTTATTTTCATTACATGATTCTGTTGAATCTCTAGTTTATTAACCAGGTTCTTATTACAAAGAATCATGCTACGATATGTTGCTAAAGGTGTAATGTAACTTATTTATGTGCAAATTGGAATGTGGGTTACATCCATTTTGAATTCCCCTGATTTTTCCTCAGGTAACACAATCTTTGGCCCATTTTAGTAATAAGATTATTGGTATGATTGGTTCATGTTAGTTTAAAATTAAATGTTATACCTAAGAATTTAATTGATGTAGATAAGATGATTTGGGTGTAATATAACTTTAATCTTACTGGTGATTTTTTTTCTTTTTATGCTTATAACATCTGTAGAAAATAATGGCTTTTGTTTGAAAGAGCAGAATTCATCTTCTTATACTTAACAAGACATTGCAGAAGTTAAGATCATTGTAAGGAGCAGAAATGGCATCAGGAGTAGCTTACCATACCCTAAGTTAGACTTGAACAACAAAGATACATATGTCGCAGAGACCTCTTTTCATCACAGCCAATGAGCTTAAACTGTACCATAAACATTCATATCTTGAGGGCACATAATGTCTTGGCTATCCATGATAAATGATTCAGTGCTCCAGGTGCTATAAACCACACTCCACCAAGAAAAGTTATGGCTAGTTCAAGAAGTTTTTGATAATTGTCTCCAGGTTGGCTGACCAGAAGTTGTCTTGTAGCAAACTCACTTACACTGTTCTTAACTTCCTCTATGGCTTCAGCTACTTCATCATGATCAGCTACAGTTTCATAACTGGACTAGTCCATGTATTAAAAATGTAGTGTAATAGGCTTAATACAAATGGCTTATGACAAATATAGTTGTAATCATTCTTCATTGGCTTGTAAAAAATATACACACCATAACATTGTTGTATCACATGGCTTAAATAAATAATGTTCCAACCACTGTTGTGTTGTTGTATCCAGCTGGCCTGAAGAGCTCTAGATTTAGCAGAATGCATTGTTAGCAATGAATATGACAAATATAGTGTGGTTGGAGTATTATTATTTTTATACACTCTTCAAATTCTTGAAAATCCCTGAGAATGTTTATTTAAAAATGTAATAGGCCTAATACTAATGTCATATGACAAATATAATTGTAATAATTTTCCACTAGTTTGTAAAAGGTGTACACACCATAATAATTGAAACAGTGTAAGCTGAAATAATACATAAGAATCTTAAGTGCTTATGTATACCCTCACAGAAATTCTAGAAACTACTGTCACGTCATACAGAATATTCCAGAGGTAAAAAGTGACAGCATAGGTTATTTATATATGGAATTTTCTCAAACATTATGAATCATGTAGAATGTGCTAGAACATTCCAGAATTCTTTAAAATATGCAAATATAATGCAAGCTACAAGGTAAAATTTCAACTAACTTTGTGCAACCCAAAAATGTTATTCCATATGGATTAAATTTGATAAGAATTATTTTATATATTGGAACAAAATGAGGGGGTGAGATTGTTGTAAATCAAATCTTCAGAAATATGGAACACCCTTACGGTGATTCTGAATAGCTTTTTGTAAATTCTATCTCAGTATCTGCTTCTTTTTTATTGTTAAATGCAACAGTTTCACATCCTATTGGTAATTTTGAATAAGAAAGTACTTATGGTCACCAGATTGTAACTGGTTACATATTGTTAGTCTTAGCTATATTCAGTAAGTAAATGGAGTAGTTCAAACCTTAATATTAAGATCACTAATTATAATTTATAACATTTTCTTTTATACTTGGATATGTCTGTATTTAATTCTAAGTACTCCCCTGGATGTAAATATCTCATTCTATTTCAAACTGTTGCAATTAGGAAAAAATATTTTATTGAAAATAATTAGAAGAAAGATAAAATCCTTCATTCATTTCAAAGTAAAGTCACAAGAGAGGAAAAAAAAAAAGTAGTGTGTGTGTATATATATTTGGATGGGGGGTCTATATGAACCCTACACAAGTAATTAGGATTAATTTTTCACATTCCACTAGGGAATTCAAGAAGATGTTCGTCAGATGCACAACAAAGGTGTGAAAAAAGATACAGACACTGAGGTATGTGATATATTTCTAATTCTGCAAATTATTCAATTTGGTAAATTTTCAAATGTGTTTTTGATATAAATTTCTGAAAGGAACCAATATTAAAAATATAGTAACCTAAGTAATAGATAAGGTAGAAAACATCTAAGAATAGGATATATAAAAGAATAGTTTAAATACTCAGCTGTTTCATTGGCATTAACCCAGCATCATCCTGCACTGGTGAAAAGTTGATGTTTAACTATTATTTTATATCTCATTTTTAACTGTTTTGTACCATATCAATTACTGCAATTTATGGGATACCCTAAAATCTTTGAATGTCTTAACTTAAGTATTATAAAATATTTTAGTACATTGATTAGATTATAAAAACATACATGTTGCTATACCTTATGTTTAATTTCCATTATATGTTAATATTTAGGAAAAACAAAGTAAAGTTACAGTTATTATGGGGGTGGCCAAGAAACAGAGTAACACAAGAAAAGGTGAATTGATTGAACAAGATCAAGATGCCTTAGAGGTTAGTTTGCTTTAATATTTCTATAATTTTGTTGAATATTCCAATTCTTGTTTTAACCAAATTTGCAGTTGAAAAATTTCTTAACATCAAGTATTTAGAAATTTGTGAAATAATGTCATCAACAACAACAAATAAAAACTATTGAAATAGTGCAATTTAACAAATAGAAGCAATTCTGTTAAAACCTCAACCATGTAGATATTTAGTCATAAGCATAGAGTAATGTAACTTTAATATCTCTTACATGCAGTGCTTGACACTTCATAATACCATCCCACTTGTTTTTAAGAAAGCCCGAAACTATCCAGTTACCTTTTAATATAATGTAAGTTTATCAGAAGGGAAATGTTCAATAGATGATGTAACAACTAATTACTGGCAAAAGGAACTGTATATGTTTTTGTAAATGTCATGTAAGAGCAAGTCACAAATGAGGTACATGGATAGATTGAATGACCTCTCTTTACTACGAGCTTGGTTGGTGTAACTGAGTTCATAACCCCAAAGTAACCAGTAACAGTATTCATCCATTTATACTTAATTGAACTGTTTTATTGCCCTTTGAACTGTGTTTAACCAACAGTTCCACCACAAAAAAAGTTGTAAATCACTCGGCAAATGTGCAGCTTTTGTTACCATATTGAATAGTGAAACACATGAGCTGCTCGCAAGTATACCTTGTGAAGAATTTTATTATTAGTAGTAATATTTTTTATTATCTGACCTAATCTAACCTAATACGTTTCTAATTTTTGCTTTTTAGTTACTTTATAATAATAAATAAAAAATACACAAGTATACCTTGTGAAGAATTTTATTATTAGTAGTAATATTTTTTATTATCTGACCTAATCTAACCTAATACGTTTCTAATTTTTGCTTTTTAGTTACTTTATAATAATAAATAAAAAATACACACGAAAAACAAGAAATACAGTGCTCAGCTTCAAAAATTTCACAAACAATCCTGCTTCCTCTTTTTCCC